TTGCGACTTTATATCTCATTTATCTCTACTTTATATCATATTGTGAGATAAAAAGTCGCAATTATTTATTTTATTTTATTCAGTGGCGGAAACAAGCTTCCATACATATGTGTGCTGACTGTGTAAAGACTGTTTTCACCTGATTATACCATAAACCCAGTCTCACAAAACACATCACGAGTAACACCGAGGTGAATGTGCTCGATCACATCTGTTCTGTTAAACATAAACGCTACATGTTCAACACAGCTATCTTTGTTTTGAGGATCAGACTGATAGATGAAGTCTGGATTCAGTTAACACACACAGATCAATATTCGCCCCGGGACTTCATGCAAACAGAAACAGATAGTCTATAGAAGCATTTATTCTCAAGGACAATCAGTTAAATGGTGTTTATTGATATTGTCAGTTTGTAATAGACAGTGTGACTGCAGTTTATACATCATATGCTTAAGAAAAAGAGGAAAAATGTCAGTTTGCTCAGGAGTTTCTCAGTTATGTAACACTAAATATCAATCTTGTGTCAGATGTTTCTCCTAAAATTCCTTGGGAGAAATAAAAATACACTAATGATTAGCGATAAAATGAATGTGGAGATCTTTTCTGAAACTCTTGAAGAGAGAAAGGCCTCTTAATGTTCATGTAAACTGTATCAGCTTCATAATAGTTCTGTCAGATGTCACTAATTAAACAGCCAAATATTATTTTTTAATATGGTGCAAAAGTTCATTTATTTCAGTAATTCAACTTAAAAGGTGAAACTAATATATTATATAGACTCATTACATGCAAAGTGAGATATTTCAAGCCTTTATTTGTTATAATTGTGATGATTATGAATTACAGCTTATGAAAACCCCAAATTCAAAATTAGAATATTGTGAAAAGATTTTCATATCTGTAAGCCATAATCATCAAAATTATAACAAAGGCTTGAAATATCTCACTTTGCATGTAATGAGTCTATATAATATATTAGTTTCACCTTTTAAGTTGAATTACTGAAATAAATTGCACGATATTCAAATTTTTCGAGTTTCTCCTGTAGCATTGTTTCAGTAAACTGTCATATTTGTAATGTGACCCATTTTTTCCACATCAACACTACAGCTACATTTGTGTTTGATTGAATAACCCGCTTCACTCAGAGACGTCATATTACAGATATAAAACGGGGTTGAATGATGTTCAAGGCAAGGAGACGCAGAGGTTGTAAGTGCTTTTGTCGATTCTCACACAAACCATCTCGTCTCTCCCCAGGCGTGTCGGGTCGATCTCCTCCAGGCTGAGCGCTGTGTGTTTCTGGTCAATCATCTTACAGGCTCCTAGGAAAACATGCTCTCTTTTTCAGGAGAAAAGATTAAGACTTTTGCTGAAGATACTAGATCTACAAACATCACGAGGAATCAATTTGTGAGATATACCATTACCCAGCCAACAGAAAATGTTCTCAGAACTGTCAAAGTTCAAAGTCATCTGGTCTTTATCCATAGTTCATCTGAAGTGATGGACATTCGTCTTGAGATTTTTTAAATGTTACTCGTTTTTTCGGAACGTTCAGAGAATATTCCAAAGGAACGTTTCCATAATGTGTGAAGAATGAACGGAATGTTCAACTAAAGTTCGCATAAACAGAAAAAAAATACGTTTTAAACATTAAAAAAAGAACTGGATGTTTTGAATGTTCAGAGGACATTCAGAAATAAAGTTTCATAACTTAAATGTGAACATTAGCAAAGCGTTATTTGAACATATTTATGTTCATCTTACTTTGAAAATACTCATAAAACCTACATTTATTGAACTGCTAATACAACTTCCTTCATATTTCGACAAAATTATTAAATTTAAATTTAGAGAGAGTGAGTGAGTGAGTGAGTGAGAGAGAGAGTGAGTGAGAGAGAGAGAGAGAGAGTGAGAGAGAGTGAGTGAGTGAGAGAGAGAGTGTGTTAGAGGGAGAGAGAGTGAGAGAGAGTGAGTGAGTGAGAGAGAGAGAGAGTGAGACAGAGTGAGTGAGTGAGTGAGAGAGAGAGTGTGTTAGAGAGAGAGAGTGAGATCAAATAAATGCAGCCTTGGTGACAAACATTAAATAATCTTACAACCCCAAACTTTTGTAATGACCCTTATATAATAACTCACACTGTGATAGTCTATAATTCATGCCAAGTGCAGAGTGAGTGAGTGAGTGTGTGTGTGAGAGAGAGAGAGAGAGAGAGAGAGAGAGGGAAAGAGAGTGAGAGGGAGAGTGTGTGTGTGTGTGTGGGAGAGAGAGAGAGAGAGAGAGAGAGAGTGAGAGAGAGAGAGAGAGAGAGAGAGAGAGAGTGAGTGAGTGAGTGAGTGAGTGAGTGAGTGAGTGAGTGAGTGGAGTGAGAGAGAGTGAGTGAGTGAGTGAGTGAGTGAGTGAGTGAGTGAGTGAGTGAGTGAGTGAGTGAGTGGAGTGAGAGAGCGAGAGGGAGAGGGAGAGTGTGTGTGTGTGGGGGAGAGAGAGAGAGAGAGAGTGAGTGAGTGAGTGAGTGGAGTGAGAGAGAGTGAGTGAGTGAGTGAGTGAGTGAGTGAGTGAGTGAGTGAGTGAGTGAGTGAGTGGAGTGAGAGAGCGAGAGCGAGAGGGAGAGGGAGAGTGTGTGTGTGTGGGGGAGAGAGAGAGAGAGAGAGAGCGGTCCTTCAGTGTAATGGGAGCTCAGCTTCTTTCTGTTCTTTTATCAAGTTAATGCTCTTTGAACCCAAAGGCACGGGCCAGAGGCCTTCAGCGTTCCCTGTCTGTCATTTAAAGGGCAGGCAGAGTGAGTAAGCCCTAATTGAGCAGATATACTTCATTTCACATGCGAGCATCCACACACACACACACACACACACACACACACACACACACACGCGGCTGCCGATAGCGCTGTTCTCAAGCACAAACTAGCCTCGGATGTACAGCAGGAGTCGACAGAAGAAGATGCGCATGTCAGAGACAATGTTCTCTTTGCTGATTAAAAATGCTGACAGTGAATCAGTAGATATGTCTGTGTTGGACTTTCTATTTTAAGAACAAAGATGACTTGATATTTCTTTTGCTTTAAGGCAATGCAACACATTTCAGCCAGCTTTCATGCAACAAAAGGAACAAAAATAGAAATGTATAAAAGCATATTCTTTAGGATAGTGTTGCTCATTTTAATGGGAAAAACAACCCAATACATTTCACTTTCAATAGATTTCTGTAACATTAGTAGTATATTGTAATCATAAATGAATATAGTAATCATTCAGTGACATGTATGCATATAAAGTACCATAGTATTATGCAATCATGTAATCATGGTATCACCACAGAGTTGTTTTCTTCAGAGTTTGGATCCAAAATTCTGGCAAATGATAGAATAATGTAAAGTGATTTGCATCTATATTCATTTTAAAATATCAATTTGTAAAGAAAAATTGGTAGCAGTTTAATTAAGGTATCCGTTGTAATGCATATTGTCATAGATTGTTATATTTGCTGATTCCTTGTTACATCTGAAATTGGTTGTTTGAAAGTGTGATGTGTTTTAATGCATTATATTTTCTGTGTAACAACGAATAGAAGTATTATATAATTATAAAACACCTTTTAAAAGTAACTTGAGGCTTCAAATCAAATAAAGATTGTATCATTACAGTGTTACACCAGTAGGTGGCGACAAGAGACTGTTAAAAATGTGAGTCATTGAATCATTCACTCAAGAGATTTGTTAAAAAACACTGATTCATCCAGTAATAAAACAAGTGAAGTCTTTATGAGTGAGTCATTGAATCATTCATTCAAGAGATTCGTTCAAAAACACTGATTCATCCAGTAATAAAACAAGTGAAGTCTTTATGAGTGAGTCATTGAATCATTCACTCAAGAGATTCGTTAAAAAACACTGATTCATCCAGTAATAAAACAAGTGAAGTCTTTATGAGTGAGTCATTGAATCATTCATTGAAGAGATTCGTTCAAAAACACTGATTCATCCAGTAATAAAACAAGTGAAGTGTTTATGAGTGAGTCATTGAATCATTATATTTTCTGTGTAACAACGAATAGAGGTATTATAATGTATTATAATTATAAAACACCTTTTAAAAGTAACTTGAGGCTTCAAATCAAATAAAGATTGTATCATTACAGTGTTACACCAGTAGGTGGCGACAAGAGACTGTTAAAAATGTGAGTCATTGAATCATTCACTCAAGAGATTTGTTAAAAAACACTGATTCATCCAGTAATGAAACAAGTGAAGTGTTTATGAGTGAGTCATTGAATCATTCATTCAAGAGATTCGTTCAAAAACACTGATTCATCCAGTAATAAAACAAGTGAAGTCTTTATGAGTGAGTCATTGAATCATTCACTCAAGAGATTCGTTAAAAAACACTGATTCATCCAGTAATAAAACAAGTGAAGTCTTTATGAGTGAGTCATTGAATCATTCATTGAAGAGATTCGTTCAAAAACACTGATTCATCCAGTAATAAAACAAGTGAAGTGTTTATGAGTGAGTCATTGAATCATTATATTTTCTGTGTAACAACGAATAGAGGTATTATAATGTATTATAATTATAAAACACCTTTTAAAAGTAACTTGACGCTTCAAATCAAATAAAGATTGTATCGATTACAGCGTTACACCAGTAGGTGGCGACAAGAGACTGATGAAAATGTGTGTGTCATTGAATCATTCACTCAAGAGATTCGTTCAAAAACACTGATTCATCCAGTAATGAAACAAGTGAAGTGTTTATGAGTGAGTCATTGAATCATTCATCATTCAAATACATTTTTAATAGATTGCAGAACTTCGCATTTTGTCAGAACCTCTAGTAAATTACATGTTATTTTGTTTAGTCGTCTGTTCAGAATCTTGTGAGAATCGTGATCTCCATTTTAAACAAACAAAGAAATTCTCAATTTCTCCAGAATAATGCAGCTCTAGTGTCAACTAATCAGTTGTTCATCTTTTTCTTCATATTTCTGTGTTTTGAAAGGTCTCTGCTGTAGTATCTGACAATGTTTCGCAAAAAGAAGAAGAAGAGGCCGGAGATTTCGGCACCGAAGAACTTTGAGCATCGCGTTCATACGTCGTTCGACGCGAAGCGAGGGGTCTTCGTCGGCCTTCCCACGCAATGGCAGAGTCTAATAGAAAACCTCCGGAGACCCAAACCGATGGTGGACCCGTCCAGGATAACACCGGTGGAGCTCAAACCAAAGAAGGTCAGGATTACACCTCGCGTGTTAGGAAATATCCCACAATGCCATGATAGACCATTTCAGTTCACTTTATTTGATTGGAAAACCATCCGTACCACCTAAGCAACTGCATAGGAAAACATACAGATGTGTGTATAACTCTTATTTTTTAAGGTTTTGTCTTAAAAAATGGTCCTAAGGTACACTACTTTGTTTTGTCAATTTGAATTGATTCGTTCACTAAATGCAAAACGTCTCATTCAGCCAATAAATTCAAGGCAACTGGTTTATTCAGCAACTTTTCAATTAGTATTATAATCTATCATTTGGTATTATAATGTATTATAATTATAAATCACCTTTTGTAAGTAACTTGACGCTTCAAATAAAGATTGTATCGATTACAGCGTTAAACCAGTAGGTGGCGACAAGAGACTGTTAAAAATGTGAGTCATTGAATCATTCAGTCAAGAGATTCGTTCAAAAACACTGATTCATCCAGTAATGAAACAAGTGAAGTCTTAATGAGTGAGTCATTGAATCATTCATTCAAGAGATTTGTTCAAAAACGCTGATTCATCCAGTAATGAAACAAATGAAGTCTTTATGAGTGAGTCATTGAATCATTCATTCAAGAGATTTGTTCAAAAACGCAGATTCATCCAGTAATGAAACAAGTGAAGTCTTAATGAGTGAGTCATTGAATCATTCATTCAAGAGATTTGTTCAAAAACGCTGATTCATCCAGTAATGAAACAAATGAAGTCTTTATGAGTGAGTCATTGAATCATTCATCCAAGAGATTTGTTCAAAAACGCTGATTCATCCAGTAATGAAACAAATGAAGTCTTTATGAGTGAGTCATTGAATCATTCATTCAAGAGATTCGTTCGTTCATCCATGAATCCATAAACCAGTGTCTATATGGATTTGACCTGATCTCAGATATTTTTTTTATAAATTTGTAGACATTTTAATGACACATGTGTGTAATAAAAAGAAGAGCTGTAATTAAAAGACTCACACTGGGCTGATTAACCAAGCAAAAATAATAAAACAAGCCCTACAATTGAATAAAATAACAAAGATTATAAAGACACTTGATAATTAATGGCATCAGATGATTTGTTAATTGCATTTAATTGATAAAAATTGCGGTTGTTTCTTTTAAAGTGTTTTTATGCATGTTTGGGCTCAAGCAAACTTGAGCTTGGGAAAGGCGCTGTATAAATAAAACATTATTATTATTAAATATTATTTTTGCTGTATTTACACTGTTCTGACCAGCAGGTCAAGCAATTGATTCAAAAAGCTTCATTTCTGAAGACGCATAACTTTACAAAGCAGAGATATCCGGGATGAAGTGTTCAGACCTCCACACTCGACACACAAACCTCAAGAAACAATCAACAGAAGTAAAAAGATGATCACAACACAACAGAAAACTAACAATAATGTAAGCAAAACGTCAGCAAACAGCGAAACAATAATCCTATAACAGAAACCGTGTCATTTATTTGTGCTGCAATGCATGCTGGGAACTTACAAACTCATAAATATCTCCGCAATATTGTTCAACTTAAAGGGTTAGTTCACCCCAAAAATGAAAACTCTGTCAGTAATTACTCTCCCTCATGTTGTTCAACCCCGTAAGACTTTCGTTCATCTTCGTGACACAAATTAAGATATTTTTGATTAAATCTGAGAGCTGGATCACTCCTCCATAGGCTTCTAAGGGATCGAAACTTGCCGGCCCAGAAAAGTTATGAAAGACATCGTTAAAATAGTCAGAGTGACTACAGTGGCTCAACCTTAAGTTTATCAAGCGACGAGAATACTTTCTGTGCGCAAAAAAAAAACAAAAATAACGACTTTATTCAACTCTTCATTTCCTTCTCTGTGGGCCGTGAGATTTCACGTAGTGTAACAGCGCAGCGCTTCTGTGTTGTACGTCACACACATCACACACACACACACATGACAAGCGTCGGCCAATAGTGAGCCTGCGTGTGACGTACGACCCAGAAGCGCTGCGCTGTTAAGGCCTGTTCACACCGGGATGAATTTCGCGCGCGATATTCGCTGACGTTTAACGCCTCGTGACTAAACAAAGGGCGCCAGCGTGAGTGTGCACACCGACGCGAAAAACGCCACGCGTAAAAGCGTCATTTAAAAAAAAAAAATGCCTCGGGTTGGTTTTTTTAGTTTGACGCGCCGCGTCAAAAACTATCCGACCAATGAGATTGGCGCTTTTGCTCACGTGTCTGGAGCTTCTGAAGTTACAGTAAAACACAACTTGGGGGCGCTCAAACACAAAACGGTCTTGCCGAGCACACATACGTAACGGCGAAGAAGAGAACGCCAAGTAGCGTCTACACTGCCGGGAAGAAATAAGACGAGGAAGATGCAAGGCAAGATGAATGTAGAGCTGCTGGTCTCGTTGGTGTCGGAACATAAAGAACTATATGACAAACGCCACAGCGACTACAAAAATCTTGATAAAAGAGAATGTTATGGAGTGGTATTGCAGAGCAAATGGGCGCCATCTAATGTCAGGGAATGAATTTGCATGTTCACTCGGCGCAACGTCAGCGAAAATCGCTTGGGTGTGAACACAAAAAAACACTTCGAAAAACGCTGACGAATAACGCACGCCGATATTCGTCCCGGTGTGTACGAGCCTTTACACTACGTGAAATCTCACGGCCCACAGAGAAGGAAATGAAGAGTTGAATAAAGTCGTTATTTTTGTTTGTTTTTTTGCGCACAGAAAGTATTCTCGTCGCTTGATAAACTTAAGGTTGAGCCGCTGTAGTCACTCGGATTATTTTAACGATGTCTTTAATAACTTTTCTGGGCCGGCCAGTTTCGATCCCTTAAGAAGCCTATGGAGGAGTGATCCAGCTCTCAGATTTAATCAAAAATATCTTAATTTGTGTTCCGATGATGAACGAAAGTCTTACGGGGTTGAACAACATGAGGGAGAGTAATTACTGACAGAGTTTTCATTTTGGGGTGAACTAACCCTTTAAAACTCTTTGTCAAGAGACTAACAGTTTTTATGCACATGACCTGTAAATGTATGATTATTCCAGCGCCTGTAATCTCAACACCCTCCTCAATCTGTCGGGAAAGCATCGTCGTTGGTTCCAGTTTTGGCTTTTGGCTCACTTGGGACAAGGCTTGAATTTAAGTAGAGATGCAGGTCTTAATCTAATTTCAGAGACTTTCTTTCCAGGCACACTTTTCCGGCGGTGTGTTTCCCCTCGAGGGACCGTAACGGCGCTCAGAAACACATGTTTTTTCCTCTGTCACATTGGCTTCTTATCTATCACAGGCCTCAACTAACAGCCCTGCTGTGAACACCGACTCAGAGCGCCGAATCCTCGGAGGGAGAAAAGATTTATTACCTCACGCTGGCAATTAATAATGATGCATGCGGGCCGCCACCACAGCGAGACTCGGGCGGAAAAACTGCAACTACGAGCAAAAGAGCCAAGCTCTCTGACATCTGAAGATCTCTGCTCTTCTGCATGAACATATGCTTACATACAGAACAACTAGCTCTGAATCACTTCATCTCAGAGCGTTTGATGGTAAAATCAAATGCATTTTGAATGAATCATTTTCAATCATTCTTAAACCAAGATACTTTTACTTGAAAAGCATAATTACTTAAATTGCCCCTGTGGTGAGAATCCAGCTTTTAAAGTTGTTTATGTGTCTATGTGGTGTTTTTAATACGCTTTAAGACAAACCATGTGTAAGTTCATAAGTCGACAGCATTGCTGAGTATTTCCTCCTTAAAACTGCAGTGAACCAAAGACAGTCTCAAAAACACGGTTTGAAATCGCTGGTGTTTCTGACGTCACAAACGACCTTGTAACCAATCAGATCAACGTGTGATCGTCAACCAGTGGATCTCTGAGCTGAGCGAGTGAGTGGAGGCGGGGCTCATTTGCATATTCATAAAACCGCACATACTAAATGAGGCGAAGGTGTCGAGTTACATTCAAGATATTTTAAGGCATGATGTTTTTTTTTCCCTGGTAAAAACATTTAAATATGTCATTTTGGTGATCAAAGATGAGTTTTAAGGGATAAATTGATTGACTACAGGGAGACTTTAAGATATTAACTCGTTTTCTGCAAAAATGCACCAAAATGAAGTGAGTTTAAACAAAAACAAATATGGGGCCAATGGGGTAAAAATAAATAACGTTTTCCCTTTTGAATCAAGTTTTCACTTTTCCCATTTTGGTAATTTTTCAGAAAACAAACAAGACAAAACTAGATATCTTTAGGTTTAGATATTTGTAAGACAAAAATACTAAATAGGAAGCTCATCATGTTATCAAATGGGCTCTGCACCTTCATTTGTGGATGTTGTTAGCCATCAGTTTTCCTTTCTCTTCTCTTTCTCTCATTTTTTCTCCGTCTGTTGTTGAATGTGTGCCCTGAGCTCGTGTCACTTCTGTCAAACCTCTGTGAATAAAGCACATGACAGCTGTCAGTAAATACTGCAAATATAAAACACAGACGCTTGAATGTCATGTCTTTTCATAGAAGTATAATAAGCGTTGTGTGCGCTGTCCTCAATATATAATTTATTGGGTCATTGTTAGGAAGCAGTGCCATTAGTGCCCGCCTTTGTTATAAAGTGTTTTTGTTTTGTTATTCATTTGTTTTCATTATAATAAAAAAGTGAGCTGCAAAAATGGCATTTCTGCAAACTGGACAGACAAATGGATATAATTTGTATTTTTTCCTTTTAAATTTTTTTGATGTTCACATTCATCACAGCTTATGTGTTCAAAATGTTTTTACTTTGCTTTGGTCTTTATTTTCAAGAAAAAAAAATCTGTCCATTATTTAGAAATGACATTTTTGCAGCTCTTTCTTTTTTTATTATAATGGAGATAAAACAGCAACAAAGCCAGCGTTGAGGGTAACGCGCGAGTTACGTAATCAGATTACCTTTTCAAGTACGTAGTAAAGTAACACATTACTTTTAAATTTACAGCAAAATATCTGAGTTACTTCTTCAAATAAGTAACGCAAATTACTTTGTTTCGCTATTTATTGACTGATAGCTTTCTTGTCCTCATGTTGAGAGAAATCAGAGGCGTTGTGTCAAAACATTATGGTTATTGTAGTTCTAGACTATGACTTTAAACGAGAAAACTTTTTATACGTTTTGGCCGTTCATGTGCAGGCAACGGTGTTTTTGGTGCCTGAAAATGCAAACTTTTGAAAACGGGTTTCAAAGTGCAAGTTTTGGAAAACGGTCTCCGTGTAAACAACAAAAATGCGAATCTCTGAAGACGATGACGTCATGCGCATGCATATTAGGTGTTCAGATAGTGTTTCATCGCCGTCTAATGGCCTGGCAGCAGAATACGGCGTTTTAAAGGGATAGTTCACTTTGAAATTAATTTTTGATATGTTTTAGCTTACCTCAAGGGCATCCAAGATGTAGGTGTCTTTGTTTCCGCAGTAGTTTCAATTTTGATATTTTTAGGTCAAACCGTTCTTGTCTGTCAGTCATATAATGCAGGTCTATGGTCACCACCTCAAAGAGCATGCACAGAGAAGTCCAAATTAAACATGATTTAATGACTCGTAAATGTAAGTACACATTGATGGCCTAAGACACGAAACGAGCGGTTTGTGTGAGAAAACGAACAGTATTTATATCGTTTTTACCTCTTGTAAACACAGCCACGTCCAAGTGATCTGAGGGCGCCGGCGCTTCGGTCTGCGCAAGCGCTGGAAGTATAATTTGTATTTTTTCCTTTTAAATTTTTTTGATGTTCACATTCATCACAGCTTATGTGTTCAAAATGTTTTTACTTTGCTTTGGTCTTCATTTTCAAGAAAAAAAATCTGTCCATTATTTAGAAATGACATTTTTGCAGCTCTTTCTTTTTTTATTATAATGGAGATAAAACAGCAACAAAGCCAGCGTTGAGGGTTTTGACCTAAAAATATCAAAATTGAAACTACTGCGGAAACAAAGACACCTACATCTTGGATGCCCTTGAGGTAAGCTAAAACATACCAAAAATTAATTTCAAAGTGAACTATCCCTTTAAGTCGTTTTCGTGGATCCGTGTGAATGGGGATCGTTTTGACTGTGGTGTCGTCTGTACGCAGAAAACTCAAAGGAAAGACTTCTCCATTTTAAGCATTTCGTTGTCATGTAAACGTACCCTAAATGTGAGCTGGGATTTACTCATCTCACTTACACAAAAACAGATTTAGTATTCCTCAAAATAAATACAGGTGAAACTCGAAAAATTAGAATATCGTGCAAAAGTTAATTTATTTCAGTAATTCAACTTAAAAGCTGAAACTAATATATTATATAGACTCATTACATGAAAAGTGAGATATTTCAAGCCTTTATTTGTTATAATTTTGATGATTATGGCTTACAGATATGAAAACCTTTCCGCAATATTAATTTGGGTTTTCATATCTGTAAGCCATCATCATCAAAATTATAACAAATAAAGGCTTGAAATATCTCACTTTTCATGTAATGAGTCTATATAATATATTAGTTTCACCTTTTAAGTTGAATTACTGAAATAAATTAACTTTTGCACGATATTCTAATTTTTCGAGTTTCACCTGTAAACGTACCCTAAATGTGAGCTGGCAGTTACTCATCTCACTTACACAAAAACAGATTTACTATTCCTCAAAATAAATAAAAACAGTGAGATGCAAACTCAGAATATGACCCAAACATGCAGTAATTAAGTAGGTTAAATAATACAAATATACTTTATGTACTTAATCTCACTTTATTTACCTGTGTCTTTGCTGCTGACATTGATGATCCAATTGAACCATATGAATAAGCAATAAGCAAAAATGAAGTCAAATTTGTGTTTCATGTGCATCTCCTGTGTCCTATTCTTCTGTGACCCAGAGTGGCAGCACAGCTGAGAGGTTTGTTTGAGCGGCGCCCTCTGCTGTACAGGTGTGAATCTACATTTCCTTCAGCTTCAGGCTTATTCATTTCATTTTTGGTGTGAAAGGACCTTTATATTTGTCAAAAATATAACACCAGGCACAAGAAGAGTTTCTTTTCTCAGGCCATCAACCTCATGAACGGTTAAATGCCCCACTGGACAATAATCATGTGCAATACACAACACTATTTACACTTATTTAGCATACCATTCACACACATTCCCTGTATATAACATACCTGTACATTGTGTATTTTGAATTTTGTGTATTTGTATATAAAGGTATTTATATTATCTGTGTTTTGTCGCTGTCATTCTGTCAAATTCCTTGTGTGTGTAAACATACTTAGCAATAAAGCTCATTCTGATTCTGATTCAGATTAAAAAACAAACAAGCAAGCCCAGCCCAGGTGAAAAAAAGTAACACAAAAGTAACGTAACCCTGCTTTCCATAAAAACCTATCTAAGTAACCCAATTAGTTACATTTTAGGGAGTAACGCAATATTGTAACGCATTACCTTTAAATTCCCCCTGTAGCCAATAATTTTATCCCTTAAAACTCACCTTTGATCACCAAAATGACATATTAAAACGTTTTTTTCCTTGAAAAAAATTATTCATGCCTTAAAATATCTTGAATGTAACCCGACACCCTTGCCTCATTTAGTATGCGCGGTTCTATGAATATGCAAATGAGCCCCGCCTCCACTCACTCACTCAGCTCAGAGATCCACTGGTTGACGATAACACATTGATCTGATTGGTTACAAGGTCGTTTGTGACGTCAGAAACACCAGCGATTTCAAACCGTGTTTTTGAGACTATCTTTGGTTCACTGCAGTTTTAAGGAGGAAATACTCAACAATGCTGTCGACTTATGAACTTACACATGATTTGTCTTAAAGCACATAAAAAAACACCATATAGACACATAAACAACTTTAAAAGCTTGATTTTCACCACAGGGGGACTTTAAAAGTAACTTTCCCCAACACTGAAAGAAAAAAAAACACTTTATAAAACAATCGTGTACTAAAAAGCAAATGTAAATGAAGACAAAATCATCAAAAATGAACGAAACAGGCTCTTTGCTTTGTTCTTTATTTGCAAGAACAGAAACCCTCAGATAGCTCAGCCGAGTCATTCAGTGTTTCTCAAACACAAATCAGCCAGAAATAATCTCCTCAGAGGAAAGTGTGATTTTGAGTTCATGCGCACCCAGGTGAATTCACACGCTCTTTAAATAGCGCCGCGTTTCACTTCGCATTAATCATAAACCTCCTCTCCTCTTCCCCAGACCATCGTGCGAGGCACTATGATCGGCCACGGAGACTACATCTCAGCCATGCTGTCCGACATGAGCCGGCTGTCCGTCACCAGCTCCAACTCCCTGCGCAAGAGCAGCCCGTCGGCACGCAAGAGAGCGCAGTCGCTCGGCCGTCTGGGCGAAGTGAACGAGGCCGACGCCTATCAGTACGAAGGACTGGACGAAGCCGAATCGCACTGGGGCGACAAGTCACGAAACATCCACAGCGAGAGCGGCACGCCGTACATGGGCCTGAAGAAGAGCGTCACGCTTCAGCCCAACGGCGTCCTTCCCAGGGCCAAATCCACTTATGAGGTTAGCATGAGCATTTTGGAAGGGGCTCCACCCCATCCCACCCTCCCTGCGCCTCCACCGCCCCCGTTCCCCGTCCCTCCACCGCCCCGAAACATGTATCTCGGGGGAGATATCGGGAGCCCCACTGAGAGGCTCATGATGAGACGAGAGTTTCCCATCGTGTTCACACACAACCAGAGGCCCATCACCTGCTTCTACAGCCCCACGATGCCCATGCAGCGTCCACACGGAGACGGCCTCACGCCGGACATGAGGAGCGCTAACAGACTGCTGGTCCACCCGCAAAACAGCCCTGGGAGACCCTTCTCCTCATACGACCTGAAGGTAAAAACAAGTCTGACATTTATGTGGCCAACAACAGGCTCCTTAAAGGGGGGGTTCAGGATTTTGAACATCGGGCCTCATTTACAAGTTAGCCTGGGTGTTATTTATCAGTGGAGACAGTTTTCAAAAACTGTCATCCAGTCGATCCAGTTGCATAGTTCGCCGGTGCTAGGCTAGCGTGAGTCAACGGTAACTGCTAGCCTGCCATTAAAAACAGTTTTACCCACTCCACAGTTCACCAAAAGCAAATACATTATAACGCCAGACAATCGATGTTGAGAGAATAATGTTAAAAATCAAAGTACTCTTACAACAAACACATAAGTCAAAACAAGAGAAGCCAAAACCTTCTTAAAATAAAAATGTCAAAATTTGTGTACAAAGGATTGGAGAGGATCCCAAAGACTCCCGAATTTGACTTTTTGACCTGACCACATACACATGCAGAACTCAAAATTGTGAGGTATAAACTCACAGGAAAGTCAGAAGACAGAGTTTTTATATTGTTATTCTGTGGCAGAAACAAGCTTCCATACTCCTTTTAAAGACTTTACCTCGTTCAAATGGTGAACATGCAATTGCCTGTTTTGTAAGAAAAATGTATAAAAATACACCCTAACAAATCAAAACTTACTGAATTTGTTGAAAATTAAATGTTGTTGATGTGTGAATGAGTTTGTGTATAATCTGATATTAGAAATGTATTTTTTTTTATTATAATGAATACAAATATCTACAATGTAACAAAAAAAAAAGAAAAAATATATACCTTCATATAAATATGCATCTCATCCATGTGTCTCTATGCTCACCATGGCTGCCTTTACAGTATTTGATCAAAAATGCAGTAAATGCTGAAATATTATTACAATTTAAAGTAACTGTTTTCTATGGAAGCTTGTTTCCGCCACAGAATGAAAAATAAAAAAGCTAATTGCGACTTTTTATCTCACAATTCTGACTTTATTTCTCACAATTGCGAGATATAAAGTCAGAATTGCGTTAAATAAAGTCGCAATTGCGTGTTATAAAGTCCGAATTGCGTTAAATAAAGTTGCAATTGTGTGTTATAAAGTCAGAATTGCGTTAAATAAAGTCGCAATTGTGAGATATAAAGTCAGAATTGCGTTAAATAAAGTCGCAATTACATGTTATAAAGTCAGAATTGCGAGATATAAACTATTCTTAGAATTGGCCTGATAACTCGCAATTGCGAGTTTATATCTCACAATATGTCAGAATTTCGATATGTAAACTCGCAATTGTGAGAAAAAAGTCAGAATTGTGAGATAAAAAGTCTAAATTCTGTCTTTTTTTCTTGCAATTGCGACTTTATTTCTCAGAATTGCGACTTTATATCTCGCAATTGCGACTTTATTTCTCACAATTCTGACTTCATATCTCGCAATTGTGAGATAAAAAGTCGCAATTATTATTATTATTTTTTTTTTATTCAGTGGCGGAAACAAACTTCCATAGTTTTCTGTGAATATATGTTAAAATGTATTTTATTCCTGAGCATTTTCAGCATCATTACTCCAGTCTTCAGTACCACACGATCCTTCACAAATCATTCTAATATGATGATTTGCTCTGATTTAATTCGAAAGATATTTAAAAAATAACAATAATAATTTTATTCAGCAAGGATTAGGGATGCACGGTATATCGACCACCATATTCATTTTTAATGTTATTATTATCGGCCTGATAAGAAAATTTGACCGGTATTATTTCCTTCAGCTGAGACACTTCGGATTCGCACTGTCCGCCATGAAATTGCTTGAAATATGATTGAAATCACTTCAAAATAGGAAAATACAGTTCAGTGCAACATGTGCAGCGCAAGTCTGTCATATCGGCTACATAAAATCATAATAAAAACATTATAATTGTGTGTTTGGGTCATGGATTTTAATGGTGAGACTTGTGTTTTTGTAATCAGGCTTTTAAAAGTTTGGGATTTAGGTTTTTCGGCCAATCGGTTATCGGCTTTCAAATATAAAGAATTATCGGGTATCAGTCAAAATGTTCACATCGGTGCATCCCTAGTCACTTGTCGGACGAATGCATGTTAGTGAGCAAAGCAGGTTAAAGCAGAAATGTGACGCCTTACTTCTATTTGTCCTTGTGTTTCCCTCAGGCCGACGCAGCCATGAGACACCAGCCGGGATATTTGCACAGCGGCACCAGCAGTCCTCTCATGAGCGGCAGCCGGCCACACAAAACCGTCCGTTCCTCCTCCAGCTACACCATCGGACTCTCCCCCAACATCAGTTATCGGCCCAGCGGTCCAGACCCCTTCATGAGGCACTCGGGCTGCCCGAACCCAGGCCTCTACCCCCGACAGGACAGTCCGTCGCAGCCCCGGCCGTCTCCCACCGGCTCTCTGGCCAACAGTCCTCCGGGAACCTGTTCTCCTGCGTTCAGACCCCCGCTACACCCCTCGCCCCGTCCGCCACCCGACCCTCCTAAAGTCACTCACGAGCAGTTCAAGGCCGCGCTGCAGATGGTGGTGGACAAAGGCGACCCGCGCTCGTATCTGGAGAACTTCGTGAAGATCGGAGAGGGGTCCACGGGAGTGGTGTGTATCGCCCGCGAGAAACACAGCGGACGCGTGGTGGCCGTCAAGATGATGGACCTCAGGAGACAACAGCGCAGAGAACTGCTCTTCAACGAGGTGAAACTAACAACATTATAATGAGTTGTGTAGATCACACGGAAAACACAAGATATTCTCCATTAGTTATAACCAATCCAAAAATGTAGGAATTCGGGAAGCTCTGATTGGTGGATCTCACATCACAATTCTACCCTTACAGTATATTTAAAGTCCCCCTGTAGTCAATAATTATATCCCTTAAAACTCATCTTTGATCACCAAAAGTACAAATTAAATTTTTTTTCCTTCGTCATGCCTTAAAATATCTCGAATGTAACTCGACACCCTTGCCTCATTTAGTATACGCGGTTCAATGAATATGCAAATGATCCCCGCCTCCACTCACTCACTCAGCTCAGAGAGAAAACGAGTTAATATCTTAAAGTCTCCCTGTAGTCAATCTTTTTATCCCTTAAAACTCATCTTTGATCACCAAAATTACAAATTAAAAAAAAAATTCCTTCGTCATGCCTTAAAATATCTTGAGTGTAACTCGACACCCTTGCCTCATTTAGTATACGCGGTTCAATGAATATGCAAATGAGCCCCGCCTCCACTCACTCACTCAGCTCAGAGAGAAAACGAGTTAATATCTTAAAGTCTCCCTGTAGTCAATCAATTTATCCCTTAAAACTTATCTTTGATCACCAAAATGAAATATTTAAATGTTTTTACCAGGGGAAAAAAAGCCTCATTTAGTATGCGTGGTTCTGTGAATATGCAAATGAGCCCCGCCTCCACTCACTCACTCAGCTCAGAGAGAAAACGAGTTAATATCTTAAAGTCTCCCTGTAGTCAATCTTTTTATCCCTTAAAACTCATCTTTGATCACCAAAATTACAAATTAAAAAAAAAATTCCTTCGTCATGCCTTAAAATATCTTGAATGTAACTCGACACCCTTGCCTCATTTAGTATACGCGGTTCAATGAATATGCAAATGAGCCCCGCCTCCACTCACTCACTCAGCTCAGAGAGAAAACGAGTTAATATCTTAAAGTCTCCCTGTAGTCAATCAATTTATCCCTTAAAACTTATCTTTGATCACCAAAATGAAATATTTAAATGTTTTTACCAGGGGAAAAAAAGCCTCATTTAGTATGCGTGGTTCTGTGAATATGCAAATGAGCCCCGCCTCCACTCACTCACTCAGCTCAGAGGGAAAACGAGTTAATATCTTAAAGTCTCCCTGTAGTCAATCTTTTTATCCCTTAAAACTCATCTTTGATCACCAAAATTACAAATTAAAAAAAAAATTCCTTCGTCATGCCTTAAAATATCTTGAATGTAACTCTACACCCTTGCCTCATTTAGTATACGCGGTTCAATGAATATGCAAATGAGCTCCACCTCCACTCACTCACTCAGCTCAGAGAGAAAACGAGTTAATATCTTTAAGTCTCCCTGTAGTCAATCAATTTATCCCTTAAAACTTATCTTTGATCACCAAAATGAAATATTTAAATGTTTTTACCAGGGGAAAAAAAGCCTCATTTAGTATGCGTGGTTCTGTGAATATGCAAATGAGCCCCGCCTCCACTCACTCACTCACTCAGCTCAGAGGGAAAACGAGTTAATATCTTAAAGTCTCCCTGTAGTCAATCAATTTATCCCTTAAAACTTATCTTTGATCACCAAAATGACATATTTAAATGTTTTTACCAGGGAAAAAAAAGCCTCATTTAGTATGCGTGGTTCTATGAATATGCAAATGAGCCCCGCCTCCACTCACTCACTCAGCTCAGAGATCCACTGGTTGACGATAACACATTGATCTGATTGGTTACAAGGTCGTTTGTGACGTCAGAAACACCAGCGATTTCAAACCGTGTTTTTGAGACTGTCTTTTGGTTCACTCAGTTTTAAGGAGGAAATACTCAGCAATGCTGTGCTTGTTTGTTTTTGTTTGGTTCTTGGTAATCTATTTGCAATCTGTGTGTTACGTGAGACACAAATAACTTTTGTGTTATGAATTCATCAAGTGCACCATCACACGGAGAAAAAGACTGAGTCCATAGGCTAATTAAGTGTTGTTGGATGCAAATATCAGGGCGGAAACCCACATAAATTGCTATAGAATATATAGAATAATAATAAAAAAACAACCTCAATATTGATTTGATTTAAATGCAAATATCATGCATTTACTTCTATGAAAATTCCATTGAGTATCTTGTTTTACTCATAAATGCATCTCAAAGTAAAATAAAAGCATAAATGATCTGACCATGTTGCAGATTCACTGTGATGTTGATTTTGCAGTGTTTCGCATTGATCAGACTGTGTGGGTGTGTGTTCACAGGTGGTGATTATGAGAGATTACCAGCACAGGAACGTGGTGGAGATGTTTAAAAGCGCTCTGGTGGAGGAGGAACTCTGGGTAATCATGGAGTATCTGCAGGGAGGAGCTTTAACAAACATCGTGTCTGAAACCAGGTGTGAAAGCTGAACCTTTAGAGAAAGTAGCGACAAACTCATCATTTCTCAAGGAAAGCCTCTTCCTTCGGTTTCATGAAAGCGGAGAAAGCTGGATTTCTTAGATGATTGAGGTCAGAAGCATTCACAAGCAATATGCTTAACCATGGCTGTAGAATATAATATAATATAATAAATAACATCATTTTGCAACCAGTTATTGGTTAAAAGATTGTGTAGACAGAAAACATGCAATGATGAATCATTCACAATAAGACAAGGAACATGATCACACTGCAAAAAATGCTTTTCTTACAGAGGGCCCTATCTTGCACCCGGCGCAAATGACTTTGTACACTGATGCATGTATCATTCCTATTTTGCACCCGCGCAAAGCGGGCTTTTCCCTCCACAGACACACGTCGGTAAACTAGGGAATGAACTTGCGCTCCCTGGGCGGGTCGGCGCAAAGAGGAGGCGTGTTTCGGCGCAAACGTTCCCTGGTGCTATTCTGCAGTTCCAGAAAACAATTCCACCACTGACCAGAAAAAACCTAGTCTAAAGTCAGTGGCGCGTCGCGCGTTGTTCATAATGCTATTTTAAGCGCGCATGCTTGGCCATAATGTAGCGGGTGCACAACACACACACACTTAGATTCTCTCATCAACACAGATGCAGCCGTTTTTATTTTTGCAAATCATACATTATAACAAGGAAAAATATTTACACATGAGGGAAATCATTGTGGTGTCCATGAAGATGTAAAAAAATGTAGGCCTAAATCTAGCGTACATTTACCCAAATTTTTCAGGCTAATTGTAATTGTAGTAATGACGGATCAGACCTGTTTGTCCAATAGTGGCAAGACACATATGTATATAAGGACATCTGACAAATTAGTTTGTCCGTCAAGAACCAGAAAAAACAAAATCTCCCATCCCCATACAACGTCACTTCTCTGTCTTTCACGGTCCTGACAAGAACGTCGGTCTCCTCGGCTGTGAACCGCTCCTGGCGCGCTCCTGGTAATCCGCCATAATAATAACAATCCGCCATGCAACATGCGCACCTGCTCTTAAAGGGTATGTTGGATGACGCTCTGATTGGTTTATTTCATGTTATGCCCAAACCACACCTATGAATAATGAAGCTATTTCAGACCAACCCCTTTTAAACTTGCGTCGGGCGCAAGAGTCATTTATCCCGCCGGTAAAATAGCAACAGCGCCCAAGACCCGCCCACAAAGTTAAAATAAAAAGAAAATCAAAATTAAGTAAGTTTTTGCGTAAAACTAGCAAAATGATCTGCCAATGGAGTAAGAAAAATATTCTTTGTTTCCATTTGAAATGATTAATGATCATCTTGCCTGTTTTAAGCAAAAACTCATTTAATTTTTGAAAACAAGATCTAATTTCTTATGTCAGTTTACTTATCTGGTAAATGCTTCTTGATTTAAGATTTTTAGATATTTGGACTGGAAACAAGACAAAAATCCTAAGTAAGAAAATGATTTTTGCAGTGTAAAGTCCGTTTATAATGTTTTTAATGTGAATTCAGAGAACAGTGACGTCACTGGGATTGTAACTCGGATGAGCAAGAGATAAGCTCGGGTTGCTCTGCTTGTAGTTCCTGCAAATGCTAATCCCATGTTGTATTATTGTAGTGTTTTCTTCACTCCACAAGAGGGTGATGTACAGTTAACTCATCGATCTGCTGATGTACTCAGACTTTGCTCAGGGGAATCTGATTAGCTGTTTAATTAGTTTGGTAAATGCATCTCTCTCTTTGTCTGATGAAGGACTAGATTGACATGAGTCCAGTGTCCACACTAGCGCGGCTGACTGGAGTTGGCATTGCAGAAGGACGAGATCTGACCTGAACATTGAGCGGGACATGTTTGCAAACATGATTGATTTTGCACACAGTGCCAGAGGACAGAAGACATCTGAGAGTAGAGCAGGTTCAGTTCAGTTTAGCAGCGTTTAGTTCACCAATAGCCTTCAAGAACTAGGCCATTTTCAAACTGATTTGAAAAGCAATTATTTGACATGAATAAATTGATACGCCTGCATTTCAAAAAGTTTTTTATAGACAAACAAAATCTGTATTTACAAATCCATCTATAAATTTGTATACAAAATCTATGTATCGATAATATACAACTAATAATAATTTAAAGAAAACATTCCTTTACAGGAGGCTAAACCTAATAGCATAAATATACAAAAGTGTATTAGTCAGCAAATTAAATAGGCTTAATAATATATAAATTATAAAATAGAATGATTTTCTAGCTTCTTTGAAGACTTTTTGTTTGACAAGCAATAATATGACATGAATAAATCAAAAAGTGCATCTCAAGTTTTTTCTACACAAACAAAATCGGTTTTTAATCTATAAATAAATTTTTAATAATAAATCAATTTAAATAATAATAATAATAATAATAAATTAACCAAAAGATTCCTTTACAGCAGGCTTATTTCTCAGAACTGCGGGTTATAAAGTCAGAATTGTGAGATATATAAACCTAATGTCATAAGTATACAAAATATATGTATTTTTAATTAGTCAACAAATTAAATGGGCTAAATAAAGTAAATGATAAAATAACGGATTTGAAGACATTTTGATTGACAAGCAATTATATGATATGAATAAATTAATAACCCTGCATATAAAAAAAATAGGGCTGGGTGATAAAGCAAAAAAATGATATCTCCATATTTTTTTCATATTTTGATGATATTCAATATGTATTGATATTTTTGCATTTTTGATATTTTTGCATTTAAAAAGTTGATTTTTTTTGTGTCCTCCATTAAAAAAAGACATGATCTGAATAGAACAGCTATTGTTACATACAAAGTACATACAATTGCTTACTGCAAAAAAATTATAATAACAATAATCAAGACAGTGACACTCGCTGCTTTTTACTCAATGAACACGAAAGGAACGTTTAAAAATCATATGTACTAAAAGGTATCAAAATAAAGATATTCAAAATAAAAAACAGGCAAATTATGCAAAAAATACAATCTTCCTACAAAAATGTTGCAAAAACAAAGCAAGTTCTATAAAGAACAAAGAAAAGCATCGTTGAAGAAATAAGTCACGACTGTTTCCCGAAACCATATTGTGGACGTTCAACCATGTTGGTTTATGACGTCACGCACGTGGTGGAGTAATAACTTCTTTTAATAAAACTGTTTGAGATCGAACTAATGCTAGATGTTTTGATATAAATTACAGACATATCATCTGAGGACTATTTCTCATTTTTCTCAGTTATTTCGGTTTATTTCCAGATTCAATCATAGACTCGTTCTTACACACTAGAGCTCGTTCACACATGCGCACTCTTCAAAAACTGTTCTTTAAATCTCTTGACAAACTCAAAGACGTAAATGACATTTGTATGTATTCTAAATAAAAGACACAGGTTGTACTAAATGTCAGCTTGCTTATTTTGCTCAAGATAAGGTTTTATTGAGTCCACATGTCATGCAAACTAGAAACTGCTTCTAACCACAGGTCCAACACTGTCGTTCCAAACAAACAACTTTGCGATGTTGTTTGCGAATGTTCGTTGGAACGATGGTTTCGGGAAACACCGACTCGTTGAACTGTACTGATGACGACGGATCCGACCATAGTTGGATAACGATGCTTTCGGGAAACATACCCCAGATTGGCTGTTTCATATATAGATATCCATAATAAAGGCTAGATGTCTTACGGCGGAGTCTCTATCGTCATCACTGGCGGCCATCTTGTCACAGGCAAGCTTTCTGGCGGGCTCTGTGGTGCCTGATGTAAGATGAGTGATCCGCACGAACACAAATACTCTTATCTCGGTGAAATCTTGACGGATTTACAAACGGTTTGGTTTCTTATAAACATTATTAACGTGGCTATCCTTCTGTTCTGGATGATTATTTATTTATACACAGATTATTCATAAGTATACAGTGTCATAACTACATCTCTGACGTTTATAACAAACCAAACCGTTTGAAAATCGGTAGAAAATTGAGCAAGTTATGGTTATTTAAAAAGTACATGCGCCATTAAAACACAATGTTACGAGTGAGCGAGCTGCCTGTGACAAGATGGCCGCCAGTGCAGACGTCAACCTCCATTCGCCAGCATTGCGGACGAGACATCTAGCCTTTATTATGGATATCTATGGCTTCATTCACCCGCTCTGACTTGTGATTGGCTGAATGCTCAACACGCTGTAAATAAAAACCTTTTCAAAATGATCACGAGCAGCCGTCTGTCAGCTGTCAGTCCTGAGAGTGAAAAAGATCATGCAATTGGCTTCTGTCTGAATAAATATAACAGTATTGAGATTTTTTTCTATCGTCAGCAAATATATTCGCTAATATTTAATGCATCGAACAGCTCTAAATCAAAACCATCCTAAAGCAAAGCCGCAGGAATAAAACTAGATTCTGAAATGAAGTGCATTATCAAGCTCAACAGTTTTTGATGTGAAACTTAAGATTAACCTAGTGTGGTGAAAGAAAGCAAACTAAAAAATCCCCTGTTAAAGCTGTAGTGAGGTAGAGTTCTGTGAGTGTGTGTGTGTGTTCAGGCTGAGCGAGGAGCAGATCGCGACGGTGTGTGAGGCTGTTCTGCAGGCGCTGGCGTATCTCCACTCACAGGGTGTCATCCACAGAGACATCAAGAGCGACTCAATCCTGCTCTCGCTGGACGGCCGCGTGAGTCCATCTCTCTCTCTCTTCATCTTCATCTGTCTCTCTTCATCTTCACTTATCTCAACCTCTTCTCTGACACAAAAAAACGTACTGAAATCCTCTCTCATATAGTCCATCAACCTGTGTTTAAATCGCGTCAATAACAATCAAGCGTAGCATCAGTTCTGGCAGGTCATGTTAGTCGAGCTCTCATCAGTGACTCTCAGCTGATCCTCTACCTATAGGAATACGACGCCTATCACTGTATACATATATAACTCCTTCAGTATTATCAGCTGATCCTCTACCTATAGGAATACGACGCCTATCACTGTATACATATATAACTCCTTCAGTATTATCAGCTGATCCTCTACCTATAGGAATACGACGCCTATCACTGTACACATATATAACTCCTTTAGTATTATCAGCTGATCCTCTACCTATAGGAATACGACGCCTATCACTGTACACATATATAACTCCTTCAGTATTATCAGCTGATCCTCTACCTATAGGAATACGACCCTATCACTGTATACATATATAACTCCTTCAGTATTATCAGCTGATCCTCTACCTATAGGAATACGACGCATATCACTGTATACATATATAACTCCTTTAGTATTATCAGCTGATCCTCTACCTATAGGAATACGACGCATATCACTGTATACATATATAACTCCTTCAGTATTATCAGCTGATCCTCTACCTATAGGAATACGACGCATATCACTGTATACATATATAACTCCTTCAGTATTATCAGCTGATCCTCTACCTATAGGAATACGACGCATATCACTGTATACATATATAACTCCTTCAGTATTATCAGCTGATCCTCTACCTATAGGAATACGACGCATATCACTGTATACATATATAACTCCTTCAGTATTATCAGCTGATCCTCAACCTATAGGAATACGACGCATATCACTGTATACATATATAACTCCTTCAGTATTATCAGCTGATCCTCAACCTATAGGAATACGACGTCTATCACTGTATACATATATAACTCCTTCAGTATTATCAGCTGATCCTCAACCTATAGGAATACGACGCATATCACTGTATACATATATAACTCCTTCAGTATTATCAGCTGATCCTCTACCTATAGGAATACGACGCATATCACTGTATACATATATAACTCCTTCAGTATTATCAGCTGATCCTCTACCTATAGGAATACGACGCATATCACTGTATACATATATAACTCCTTCAGTATTATCAGCTGATCCTCTACCTATAGGAATACGACGCATATCACTGTATACATATATAACTCCTTCAGTATTATCAGCTGATCCTCAACCTATAGGAATACGACGCATATCACTGTATACATATATAACTCCTTCAGTATTATCAGCTGATCCTCTACCTATAGGAATACGACACCTATCACTGTATACATATATAACTCCTTCAGTATTATCAGCTGATCCTCAACCTATAGGAATACGACGCATATCACTGTATACATATATAACTCCTTCAGTATTATCAGCTGATCCTCTACCTATAGGAATACGACTCTATCACTGTATACATATATAACTCCTTCAGTATTATCAGCTGATCCTCTACCTATAGGAATACGACGCATATCACTGTATACATATATAACTCCTTCAGTATTATCAGCTGATCCTCTACCTATAGGAATACGACGCCTATCACTGTATACATATATAACTCCTTTAGTATTATCAGCTGATCCTCTACCTATAGGAATACGACGCATATCACTGTATACATATATAACTCCTTCAGTATTATCAGCTGATCCTCTACCTATAGGAATACGACACCTATCACTGTATACATATATAACTCCTTCAGTATTATCAGCTGATCCTCAACCTATAGGAATACGACGCATATCACTGTATACATATATAACTCCTTCAGTATTATCAGCTGATCCTCTACCTATAGGAATACGACACCTATCACTGTATACATATATAACTCCTTCAGTATTATCAGCTGATCCTCTACCTATAGGAATACGACACCTATCACTGTATACATATATAACTCCTTCAGTATTATCAGCTGATCCTCTACCTATAGGAATACGACACCTATCACTGTATACATATATAACTCCTTCAGTATTATCAGCTGATCCTCTACCTATAGGAATACGACGCCTATCACTGTAAACATATATAACTCCTTCAGTATTATCAGCTGATCCTCTACCTATAGGAATACGACCCTATCACTGTATACATATATAACTCCTTCAGTATTATCAGCTGATCCTCAACCTATAGGAATACGACGCATATCACTGTATACATATATAACTCCTTCAGTATTATCAGCTGATCCTCTACCTATAGGAATACGACGCCTATCACTGTATACATATATAACTCCTTCAGTATTATCAGCTGATCCTCTACCTATAGGAATACGACACCTATCACTGTATACATATTTAACTCCTTCAGTATTATCAGCTGATCCTCTACCTATAGGAATACGACACCTATCACTGTATACATATATAACTCCTTCAGTATTATCAGCTGATCCTCTACCTATAGGAATACGACACCTATCACTGTATACATATATAACTCCTTCAGTATTATCAGCTGATCCTCTACCTATAGGAATACGACACCTATCACTGTATACATATATAACTCCTTCAGTATTATCAGCTGATCCTCTACCTATAGGAATACGACACCTATCACTGTATACATATATAACTCCTTCAGTATTATCAGCTGATCCTCTACCTATAGGAATACGACACCTATCACTGTATACATATATAACTCCTTCAGTATTATCAGCTGATCCTCTACCTATAGGAATACGACACCTATCACTGTATACATATATAACTCCTTCTGTATTATCAGCTGATCCTCTACCTATAGGAATACGACACCTATCACTGTATACATATTTAACTCCTTCAGTATTATCAGCTGATCCTCTACCTATAGGAATACGACACCTATCACTGTATACATATATAACTCCTTCAGTATTATCAGCTGATCCTCTACCTATAGGAATACGACACCTATCACTGTATACATATATAACTCCTTCAGTATTATCAGCTGATCCTCTACCTATAGGAATACGACACCTATCACTGTATACATATATAACTCCTTCAGTATTATCAGCTGATCCTCTACCTATAGGAATACGACACCTATCACTGTATACATATATAACTCCTTCAGTATTATCAGCTGATCCTCTACCTATAGGAATACGACGCCTATCACTGTATACATATATAACTCCTTCAGTATTATCAGCTGATCCTCTACCTATATGAATACGACGCCTATCACTGTATACATATATAACTCCTTCAGTATTATCAGCTGATCCTCTACCTATAGGAATACGACCCTATCACTGTATACATATATAACTCCTTCAGTATTATCAGCTGATCCTCTACCTATAGGAATACGACGCCTATCACTGTATACATATATAACTCCTTCAGTATTATCAGCTGATCCTCTACCTATAGGAATACGACGCCTATCACTGTATACATATATAACTCCTTCAGTATTATCAGCTGATCCTCTACCTATAGGAATACGACCCTATCACTGTATACATATATAACTCCTTCAGTATTATCAGCTGATCCTCTACCTATAGGAATACGACCCTATCACTGTATACATATATAACTCCTTCAGTATTATCAGCTGATCCTCTACCTATAGGAATACGACCCTATCACTGTATACATATATAACTCCTTCAGTATTATCAGCTGATCCTCTACCTATAGGAATACGACACCTATCACTGTATACATATATAACTCCTTCAGTATTTTCAGCTGATCCTCTACCTATAGGAATACGACCCTATCACTGTATACATATATAACTCCTTCAGTATTATCAGCTGATCCTTTACCTATAGGAATACGACCCTATCACTGTATACATATATAACTCCTTCAGTATTATCAGCTGATCCTCTACCTATAGGAATACGACCCTATCACTGTATACATATATAACTCCTTCAGTATTATCAGCTGATCCTCTACCTATAGGAATACGACCCTATCACTGTATACATATATAACTCCTTCAGTATTATCAGCTGATCCTCTACCTATAGGAATACGACACCTATCACTATATACATATATAACTCCTTCAGTATTATTAGCTGATCCTCTACCTATAGGAATACGACCCTATCACTGTATACATATATAACTCCTTCAGTATTATCAGCTGATCCTCTACCTATAGGAATACGACGCATATCACTGTATACATATATAACTCCTTCAGTATTATCAGCTGATCCTCTACCTATAGGAATACGACGCATATCACTGTATACATATATAACTCCTTCAGTATTATCAGCTGATCCTCTACCTATAGGAATACGACGCATATCACTGTATACATATATAACTCCTTCAGTATTGTCAGCTGATCCTCTACCTATATGAATACAACGCCTATCACTGTATACATATATAACTCCTTCAGTATTATCAGCTGATCCTCTACCTATAGGAATACGACCCTATCACTGTATACATATATAACTCCTTCAGTATTATCAGCTGATCCTCTACCTATAGGAATACGACGCATATCACTGTATACATATATAACTCCTTCAGTATTATCAGCTGATCCTCTACCTATAGGAATACGACGCATATCACTGTATACATATATAACTCCTTCAGTATTATCAGCTGATCCTCTACCTATATGAATACAACGCCTATCACTGTATACATATTTAACTCCTTCAGTATTATCAGCTAATCCTCTACCTATAGGAATACGACGTCTATCACTGTATACATATATAACTCCTTCAGTATTATCAGCTGATCCTCTACCTATAGGAATACGACGTCTATCACTGTATACATATATAACTCCTTTAGTATTATCAGCTGATCCTCAACCTATAGGAATACGACCCTATCACTGTATACATATATA